ACCCAAACACTGAACTGAAAAATCTGAGCAGCACAGAAAGATAGAAACGAAGAGAGGCGTTTCAGAAGTTTTAAAGTAAATGCACTGCAATATATGAACACCTTGTCCTTCACAGTCACCTTTTTACACACATACACATTTATTAATGCCGCATTACAGAACACAGTCTGGTTTAATTGGGCAAAATTTACCCTTAAGACCATAGTGGGTCAAGGTCCCACAGATGTGATACAGAACAAAGTGGCAGTTACAGTGGTGAGGACTGAAACCTCTGGATCAGTTCAATGAGTCCAATAGGGGTGATAGAGATGCTCCCAGCAGGCAAATGGGACTATATATTGAGCCACTCAAAGTGTCCAGTTTCATGAAAGGGTTTAGCTCAACACAACATTGTTTGAGTATGTTACCCAGGAGATGGAAGTCATAAAAAAGACAAGATAAAGAAGACAAAAAGCAACTTGACAAAATAAGGTGCAACAACAACAACTGTGGAAAACATTGAGAGTTTGATTTGTTGTAACTGAGCAGAAGACATGATTCTCACTCTCGGTCCCAGTCAGCGAGTGAGCGCTGAGCACCAATATATGTTTCTTTCTGTACATAGTAATCTTTAATTAAATGATAATGTAAGACAAACAGTAACTTAAAAAAATAATATCAGGAGTTGGCTTGCAAACAAAAATAATATTTATCATGTCATTATAACTACTAATGTATGAAAATTTGTTTTCATATACACCTGCTCCAAGATTGAAATCACAGACACTAAGCATCGTCTTTTTACATCTGTGTACCAAACCCGACTGATCAGTGACTTAATGATGCCTGATTACTGACGCAAAAAAGAAAAGAAAATGTCTTAACAAGTGCCATGAAGAAGGCCATTTCTGTAAGCAGTGCACCTGTCACATGCACTCTGGCACCAGAGAGCTCACTTTTTGCAGTATACTTGTGATATGTATGCCTTTGACCTTACATGCTGAATGTTTTATGATTATTTTATATTTAGATGTTGGCTTGTACTGTTGAAATTGTTTAGCTCAGCTCCCTCTGTCTGTCTGGATGCTACTGACACTGAATGCTAACAACAGTGTTTGAGGGTCTGTTTATAAACTACTTTAACACATCATGCCATACATATGTACTGTAAATATGTAAAAATGAAAACAGACACTTTGTCGTGCCATTTAGGATTATAATGAAGTGTATTCACTGATACCATGACATGAGCTGTGTTTATTCCAGAATAGCTAATATGTAATAATAGTGATTCATAAGAAGTTCATAATCAAACCTTCAAATGGACTGAATTGCTGTGAGGGAACACTGTGGATCTCATTTTAGTCTTGTTTGGTAGTCTAGTGAGTCTCTGTCTGTCATTGCCAACCAACTGCCATACTGCAGGATCTTGAAAGTACTTGTCAACTTCCTGAGTGAATGAATGTACTAATTTCTTTTTTTTTTTTTTAAATGGTAATTATACTGTGCAGTATTAAGGAAAAGCACAAATACTTTTCTTTTTTGCATTTTGAAAAGGAGCTGTCCTGTATCATTTGTGAATAATGTAAATAATCATGCTGAAGGTATATTGTATCAGTTTGGTTTAGGGGTGGGGGTGGGGGGGTCATTCAAGCTTTTCTGCAATTTTGCGACAGGACTGTGTTTGAAGTGTGAAGGTTTTCTTTCGGTAATCATGCTGTGAATAAGGTGTATGTACAGTATTTACGTGACTTTGGCTCACTGCTGAGTTCAGCTGTTTCCTGTTATTAGAGTAGAGTCGCAGGCCTGATCTCAGCTGAGACTGAGCCTTCTCATTTGATTGATGCCTGCCGAGTTTTTGCAGTTGCTAAGATACTGCTGTTATAATAACCATCAATCTTTGGAGTACTGCTATTAAATGGCATTATACAATTGACTGCTACTATTGTCACGTAAGGTTTTGAATGCACTCGTTGAAATAAATGTATATCATTATACATGTGTTCACGCATACACACACACACACAAATTCCCTCATTTATAAATGCAACTCTCAGTGGTCTCGAGGAATATGTATATCATTGCTGCGGTTTATTTTCTTTAAATGAAACCTCTTGCAGATGTTTCATCTTGCTCAGATTGACAGGTTGAAGCAGCTTCAGAGCTGAGAGGCAGTAGGAAATCTGTCAAGCATTTACTTTCCACAAGAGGGTGCTGGACACTGGCTTTCATTCATCTGGCCTTTATGAGGGAATGAAAGGCCTGAACTCCCGTGGGTGCCTGTGCACTGACTGGACGTCGTCTGTCAGCGTGGCTGAGCTCAACACAGACTGCTGTTTTGTTGAGAGGTCTGGCACAGTGATGAGAATACCCCTTGTTGCACATATTCCTTCAATATAATGCACCGAACATCCCATAACAAACATATTCACACACATACTCATGCACATCCTAAAGTATTTTAAGAATTCATACAGCAACATGATGATTTAGATAAATTACATTCTGTAAATACTGACATAACTTGTAACAATAATTGTCTATATTAATAAATGAACTGGTACAATCAGTCAACTGGAAACTAAAGAGTTACCTGGAACCAGCTGAAAGGTTCATTAACATTTTACACAGCCTACATTTTCTAAGAATAAATGTTGAAAAATATTACTGCAATTGGGATCCTATAATATGCTGCAAATTTAGGAACACTCCAATGGTTTTCTGTAGTTTTTTCACTCACAAAAAAGAAAAATATCAGCAATGTCCAAATCAAAGCATCAGAGGTTGAAATAACCTGAATTTCAGTTCCTAGAATGTATTAAGCTCCAAAAACACAGGAGTCTACAAATCCCATAATTCAACTCAGTAGCATTTTTTATTAGACCTTCCCCCGCTTCTTAAAAACTTGTTTCAAACCACACATCTCCAGGTTGTAATGCAGGATTGTGTTAAACATTCTCAGGCCCAGATAAAGATTATTTTTAGATTTTACTTTTAGAGACTTAACTTTACTTGTAAAATCAGTGGAGTAACCCTTTATTAACTTCACTTCTATAATATTGTGCAGCCTAAAAAAATGATGCACTAATGTTATTTTTAAAGACTACTTTTTTAATTCTCCCACTAACTTATACATAAAACCATTTCAATAGAACATAATAGCTGATGGAATCAAAACAGCAGTTTGTGGCAAATATTTGTGTACAGGTATAGTATGTTTATAAGCTGCCAGTTTTCAGGCGGTTTGTAAAAGCAGTTGACAAGAAAGCCAGCATGAATTGGCAGATGATGAATATAATCATGTTTGCTGTTAAAATACTGACAGTGTTTTTCTTTTCTTCTGGTTTTTTATTCTCCTTTGACAGAATACGAATAATCTGACGGAACAATACACAATTATCAGTGGAATGAGGAAGCCTAGACATACCAGGATCACAATAAACCTTAGCTGAAGTGAACAATCTTTACATCTTTCAAAGCATGTCCCCCAAAGGACCAAACACACAGCAAATGCTGTCTCTTTCTTCCTCCTCCATGATCTGGCCTGCAGAGGGAACCTTATAGCCAGGTAGCAGTGGAAACAGATGGCTGTTGTGGTCAGGATGCTGGCATACATGTTGATAAAATGTATGGACATGAGGAAAGTACACAAGGTAGTCTTAGGCAGGCAAAAGAAGGCATCATAGATCCTAAAGGGAAGGAAGAGGATGAGCAGTGAATCGGCTATAGCCAGGTTGAACACATAAATATCGCTGTCTGACCAGGAGTGCCATTTGCCAATGAAGGCCTGCAGAGCAGCAGCATTGAAAGGAAACTGTAAACCACACACTGAAGACTGTCCACTTTACAGGTAGCATTGGTGGTGTTGGTGCACATACTTAATCTGTAAGAAGTACATGTCAGGATGAAACATAATTACTAAGAGTAGAGGAAGCTGTAACTACAACTCAGCATAAAATACAACAGCTGAGCTCAAAAACACACACACAGACAGTATTGTGAGCTTATTTAATACTGCTTGGCGGGTCTTCAATAATTAAAAACAAGTTAACATCCTCTTAAAACAATATTCACATGCCTGTATTGCTCGCTGTAATCATTCCTTCTATAAGACTGTCAGACTCACAATGGACAGTTT